ATTAATTAATTAATTAATTAATTAATTAAGCACATGCATGTTTCTATTGAGCATATGATACATACACAATGAATTTAGGGTTGGTCTGCTTAATAATACTCTCTCCATTTCAAAATAATCGACTGCATGTTGTATTGTTGTGCATGTATTAAAAAAATTAATAAATATATGTGAATTTTAGAGAAAAATATATAATGTGACTAAAATACCCATTTAATAATCACATTTTCATTAATTCCCTCTCAATTAATGAATAGTAATAAGTGCATAAATGAGAAAACGGTAATTAATGCATCGTTGAAATTCTATAGTGACAAATAATATCCAACAAGTAAAACTCGTCAAAATGACAGTTATAGAACAGGAGGAGTGCGTCCTAGGATAGTTTATGTTAAAATTAATAATACGGAAAATGAATTTAGCGATTCGATATAAAACGGGTAACAAAATACGATAAACTCTCAACTATTTGTGACATTAATAAATGTTGCCAACATATTACTACATTCCTCAAATGCAACAAAATTCTTTTATTTAATATTTTCTTTTTGAGCAAACAATAAATTCTTTATATTGGTGAAACCATGTTGCCAACATATTACTACATTTAGTTGGGGAGCATGTTTTCCATCAACCTTACTTAATTTTAAATCTTTTTTTCACTTAATTATTTTCCTTTTATTATATATATACAAAATAATTAAATAAAAAATAAAAAATGAAAACCATAGAAGAATGTGCCATTTTTGTCTGTTGTAACATTCCTTAATTCTTCAGCTTACCCAGCAAAGATTAAATCATACCCACCTGACATAACTTTATGGCTAAGTATATAGTTGTGCATATGATATGATGTCCTAATTTCAGATTAATTATTGTCATATGACAGACATGCTTTCTGCGATTCCTAGGTTCAAATTATTATAAATACTTCCTATATATATATATATATATATATATAAATAATTTATATACTACTCCAATAAATACTTAATAAAATCAAATTATGAAACAATCCTCTTTTGGTAGGGTAATTACAACTACTATCCCTCAATTATGCATTTTGTGACGAAAAAATCCCCATTTAACAGATACATTTGAAATCATAAGGATAAATGTGTAAGATAATATTTAATTAAGGGGTGATTGTATAATTAACTAAATATGAGGGGTGGTTTTTGTAATTTGACCTTACCGTAGGGGTTTGGCTGTAATTTTCCCTATTTTATATTGGGTTGCACAATTACCAAAATCTTAAGTAAGAAGTGATGGTAGAATAATATAAATATGCACCAGCATGCCTAGTTTGTTTTTACTTTTTGTCTTGTACTTAGGCAACAACTATTTCAATGAAGTGATTTTCTTTTTTTAATTTTTTAAATTGATGTATTATTGTGTATATAATGCGAAATTTTGAAGCGAATTTGAATTTTAATGCTCCATTTTAATTCACAATTATATATATATGTATGTAAAAATATTTTAAAATTAAATGAAGTAATTGAATAAATTGTGAAGGTTCATTTCATGATAGTAGGTTAATTAAATTTGAAAAAAAATCACAATAAACACTATGCACAATAAGATGTCGTCATGCTTACCCATTCAACTCCAAAAGAAAAAGAATAAAAATAAAAAAAATGAGATATATATTTCCATTTTTAATAAAAATAATTCATTGCTTAATTAGCTCGTAAGCACTGAACATGGTAATCATCTCACCCATATATACACATTTGCATATATACAAACAAAGCACATGCATATATGTGTGTGTGTGTATGTGTGAGAGAGAGAAAGTCCTATGTAGTACTATAAGTACACACTTAATTGTGTGCAAAGGCAAGTCCCATGTATATATTTGATTTATTTATTTATTTTAATTTTTTTGGGATATATAATTATATATATAAATATATATATATATATAACTTTGGTTGGAAAAAGACCAAATTAAAATAAAAATGAAAGTAATTATTATTACACAAATGGGCCAAACTCAACTTGTTCATAAAGTTATTTAGTTTCATTGATAGAGACACCCCCAAGGATTGACTTGAACACAAGCTAAATAAAACTTTCTACTTGCCCATATATATATATATATATATATATATATATGATGATTCTTCGTGTAAATAAATAATTATATGAATAAATAAAATTATTGGTCACATAGAAAAAACTAGTGAGAATGAAATAATTGTTTGGGCCAATACATATGTAGCTTTTGAGTAAAGCTAATTATTCTAACCCATGTTTTTTCCACATCAAAAAAGGTCAAACAAAAAGCCCAAACTTAGTCAACACCACTTGTTCGATTAAACTTTTTATAAAAAAAATTAAAAAAAAAGAAAAAAGAAGAAAAGTAGAGGAGAATATAATGTGAAGATGTTATTATGAGAGGGAAACTTGTGCAAAGTGGAGATACCACTAGTAATTACTTGGGTCCCTTTCTATAAACACAAGTTGCTCTAATGCAGTTAAAGATCCATAAAAACAAAATTAAATGAGTACATGTCTCATAATTACTTATAACAAAGTTATCATTATTACTAGAAATTTATTTTTCACATATATGAATTTGTTCAATAATATTTATTTTGCTTTATTTATATAAACTTATATAGATTTAGCGGCGGCGTTAATGGGTGAAAATGACTCGAGTAATTTTGATTGTTGACCATTGTAAAAATGTCAATTTTAGGAGACGTGACCGTAATTATAGTTTAACAAGAAATGTAATTAGCAAACTTAATTATGATTATGTATACACATGTGGAGAAGAATTAACACAAACATGCACAATCAAAACCCTATATAGCACCTCATATTTGACTTATTAGAAGTATTAATAGACCTTAAGAACTATATATTTTTTCTCCACCCACATCTGTTACATTATTTTTCAATAAGCCACAATAACCATATATTTTTTAAACCTATTACATTAGTAAGTATACTCCTAAATAAGATTTGTGGAACTGGGCAGAGTCAAGGGAAAAACATGACACAATTCAAATGTAACAAGAGTTATATGTATCGGATTTGAATCTCGATGAAGTACCGTGCGACACTTAATCACCAATTAAACCCCATCACGCTTATTTGATCTTTGACCCTCGTGAAAAAGCTAAGTCAGTATCGCTCGAAAGTGTACAAATGTGTGTGCAAGCGTTTAAGAAAGAATGCTAAATAATACTTTATTAAATTTACAGGTGGATATTACAAATGAATTGGACTACTCTTATTTATACAAACTCAATCTCTTCAATGAACTGTGGTAATCATCATGATCGAATGACTATGATCATCTGCTATGATATCCTAGAAAAAATATATGCAAAAAAAAGATCTTCTAAAATCTTCTAAAGTTCTCTACACTTAGGCCTATTTGGGTCATCTTTCATTGGACTTGTTTGATGGATTAACCTAAGCTCCTTGGCTTCAGGAAAAAATAGGTGACCCGTGACATATAGTTCTACAAATCCGACAATATTATATATTCACACAAATAAATAACATGTCATGCTAATCACGTTAAAAAATGTCCACGTATGAATTTTCATATATTGCACATCAAACACGCTTCCGTGTTCTACGTTTACATCATAAACTTATAACGAATCAAACACTCGAGTAGGAAGAGGCAAGATTTCGCCATACAAATAGAAATAGTTGCCTACGTATCAAGAAGAAGTGTTGTGGAGATTCTTGAAACTTATAAAACATACTAAGAACAAAGAATAGCCAAAGCATGTAATATACACTTAAAAAAATGTGTTTAATTCGTTTGACTGAGGATTTCTATCGAACAGTTGGCAAGCGTGTGAACGATCGTAATAATTCAATAACGATACCACCATTATAGCGAGTGAGCCGCTTTCTGCTGAAAACTTGTTGCATTTTGTAAAATGGTAAACTTATAAGGATATATTTCCAAAATAAAATAAAAATTCTTTTGACTAATTTTTGCAAGAAAAACCAACCTAGGAATTTGATTGCAACCTTTTTATAAGTGTCATAGTACATATAAGATATGGTTTTTTCTTTCTTCTTTCTTTGAGAGAATATATGATATGGTCTTTGGTGCTTATATTATTGAGATTTGAGAGTTTGACGTTTCAACGAATAGATTCCATCAACAATGCTCGGTCAAATATTTAAACAAAATGAAAGGTAAATTACTAGCACCCCTTGAAGTAATATCAAATTACGAAAAAATTTCTTATGTTTGGTAATTACAACCATCCTCTCAAGTATGAATCTTCTTACAGGTACACTCTTACGGTGTCAATTTCATGGAATCTTCTAGATTATGTGGAATATTCTCCAGTTTGTACCTATTTTACCCCATTCGAGCTCCACATTTTGAAACAGAATGATCATAAAATGTGTCTCTTGGCTTGTAAATATCAGATTGTGGTGCATTAGAAACTGCAATTACGCACAAAACGTGTACAAAATAGAGAACATTCCGCGAAATCTAGAAAATTATTTTAAATTTAACACCATAAGATAGGAGATGTAAGGAAATTCATCGTTGAGAAGTGGTTGTAATTACCCAAACACGAGAGTTTTTTCGTAATTTGTTCGTATCTCATAGGTAACTGTAATTTATCTAAAAATGAATTACAATACCAAATATGGATTTATTTTTGTCATTTGGACAATACTTTATTTGGATAAATGAGAATAACTTCTTAAAACACACCTAAACCCTCTAAAAAAATCTCCTTTTCTTTTCCCTCTCTCCTTTTTTTTTTTTTTTCTTTCTTTTTTTTTAATTTGTACTGTAACAATTAGAATTTCGTTATTGTAATTAAAAGAAATTCAATTAGCAAGTGAAAAATAATATTCGTACAAATTCAATTTTGCCATTTTTCAAATATATCAAATTGGTGTTTTTTTTTTTTTACAGAAATAGTATAAATAAACCACTCTGAATTTCTGATTTATACTTCCTAAAAAACATTAAAAAATAAAAATAAAAAAATCTGATAAATGGCGGATATATCCTGTTTCAGACCGGGGCCCCCCAATAAACCAATCAAACACCAGTCCACACTATTCCGGCCATTGATTTGAATCACTGTCAAGTGGGAATACTTTTCCCGGTCACCCCCTACCCCCACCCCCCACCCCCCTACTGGGTTTCCAAGAAAGAATTGACTTTCTTGATTTCCCTTATTACACAACCCGAAACACGGTCGCCATCTTTGTTTTACTTTTTGTTTTTCCGGTAAAGTTGTTGGAAGAAAGAAGAAATGGGTCATGGAAAATCCAAACCCGAAACCCCGGATGAGTCAACGAATTCACGAATTCAGAAACTCCGGCAGCGCCTCCACCTCCAGCGCCCTCACTTCCGCCGCCACCGCCGCGGCTCGAGCTCCGACCCTCGCCTAGCCAAACTACTCAAGGAGGAAGATTTCGCCGGCATCGCCCTCCTCCGCCTCGTCTGCGTATACCATCTACCACACACACACACATATATATATATATATATATATATATATATATATATATATATATATATATATATATATATATATATATATATATATATATATATATATATATATATATAT